TTTCAGCAAAACTCGTTTTTTATTAAGTCTTGAGCAATACAAACTTTAAGATATTTTGTAGTACCACGGGGTGAATTTTTCCGAGGTCCTCTGTAATCTTTAACTGTCGGATCTTATGTCTCTCTATGTTGCGAATGGATGAAATGTGTTCATTACCCTTATTTTTTAGCAATGGCTCTAATGAACTAACCTAGTTGCCTCGTAATACATAAATAGTTGGAGTTGTGTAGGAGGTAACGCAGCTTGGTTCTTGTGTGCTAGAGGTCGTGCTGGGAGGCGCAATAGTCGAGCCTTGTGTGAAGTCATCTTGTCAGTTATTTGCCTGTGACTGCATTGGGCACAAGATGTTGACGTATCCAAACGTCGGTGCTGAGGACTCGAAGCGTGTTGAAGACCTTGGAGTAGCCTTTCTTGATCGGTAGGTCCTGCAGTAGCTGGCTGAGGTGCATTTTGATCAAGTGGGCTACTTGGACGGCGAGTTCCATCGAGGTCTTGTTTGGGAGGTCGGGTCAAAACGTGCGATCGTTACATTGCAGCCAGATGTTGTAGAGGACGCATGCACGAACGATAGGCCAAATTCGCAGAATACCACGCACATAATACCCATCCCGGGGCTTGGGTACGTCGAAGAACAGTTCCATTGACCGGTACAGCGCAAACAAGAGGCGACGGATCGAGCCAAATGGAGTCCAAACTTCGTGGCCAAACCGACGTTCGAACAGGAAGTGTTGGTACGTCTCGTTGGCGCCACAGTAAATTCACTTGGGCTGAGGTTCGCGGTATTGAAACAAGTACAGCATCGCGTGCGCTCACCGGGCGGTCTTGTAGACGAACTCGCCATAACGTGGGAGGACGATTTGTGGCTGTTGCATCGCTGCCAGTTGATTAGCTCGCTTTCGGTCGGCGTGGAAGTTTTCAGGAAGGGTCGGGTGTTTGGTGGGTAGCTGCAATCCACCCGCGTCTGTCCCATCCACCCTTGCAATCTTGGAACTTGCGGAGACCAACAGCAACGGAATGCTGCGATGAAATAGCACCCACTGGAAGTCCAACCAAATCGGTCTTGATCTGGGGAAAATAAACGGCAGGTCGAATCCTTCCGTGGCTTCCCCATATACTGCCGATAGCTAGGCCACCAAGACTGTGATCCACCGTCGCGTTGGTGGAGCCAGGTTTGCGTGTGTACAAGCGGCTTGGATCTTGGGAAACAACTCCGAGAAGGGCCAAACGCGACCACAGGGCGTCAACAAGTGTGAAAGCCTCGTGATCTTTAGGTGGGCAAGCGTCAGTGCTTGTACTGTAGTCGGGTGTCTCTAGAGCACTGCCCGTGCAAACTCTCCAGACCCGGCAAAAACGCGTTGTGCCACAGAGGGATATCGATAGACATCTCCGACGACGGATATCCAAATGTAGCTCTGCGAAACTCGAACCAGTTCGTCAGAATCGTTGTCCAACTTGGTGTGATGTTGGGGTTCATGACGAGTTGACGGATGAAGTGTGAATTCCCGTCAGCGAGCAAGAGTTCCCGCGGACAGCCCTATGGATAAAAGACTTTCTCCAGCAAACAATATCCAGACGTGATCCAAGAGCCCATCGAGGACCTCGATGACGACGTGGCGAGTTCCTTGACACAGCGAAGCATGATTGAGCGATTCCGCCGTTGCCACCAGTCCATCGCGTGGTGCAAGCCCAGCCCTCCAAATCTCTTCGGCAGAAATACAAGATCCTTCTTGATCAACCGCAGCCCAGACGAAGTGGCAGATGGATTGATGTCTTCTCCATGAATGAACTGGAGCATGACTTGATCGATCTTCCTTGCGAGTTCTTTGTTGGCTGGGACGAATGCCAGTAGGTACCACATGACTGGCAAGCATATGGAGTGCAAGATCTCGACCAGCAAGTGTTCGAGCCTTGTATAGCCACAAGGACAAGCGAGACACAAACTTGTCAAACACGTAGTTGAATCGAGCTTGGGTGGGTAAATTGGGAGCCACCAAGATTCCAAGGGCTTTCGTGGGGGCCGTGCTGACGACTTGGAGGTTGGCCAATGCCTCCGACACAGGCGAAAACGTAAGGACATGAGTCTTGTCCACGTTCAAACGAAAGCCGGAGTGGTCGCAAAACCTCTGAACCAGAGCTAGCTGGCGGTGGAGGGCCGACTCATTGGCGGCGTACAATTGCGAATCGTCTGCGAAAAAACTGCCGGTATGAATTCTGTCGCTCGTCTTGATGCCGTACTCGGAATTCATCCGCAGCAGTTGGCACATTGGCTCCAGAGCAATCACGAAGAGCATTGGTGATAGCGGATCGCCTTGCAGAACTCCGCGACGCAAAGGAACTGGCTTGGACAAGTAAACATTCACCAGAATCTTTGATCACCGGTCAGTGTAAATCACCCGCACGATGTTGATAAACTCCTCTGGGAATCCGTAGCACCTAAAGACACGTAGCAAGTAGGAGTGACCCACGCGGTCGAATGCTTTCGCAAAGTCAAGCAAGACCACCATCGACGTCGGACTGTAGTGCCTCATGTAGTGTTTGTTGCATGCCATTTGAATATTCGTTTCGATGTTGCTTCGTCGAATAAAGCCTAGCTGGTCCTTGTGAATGATGCTGAGGATGTGACGCTGGAGTCGAAATGCCAAGATACTAGTCAAAATCTTGACGTCCACATTGAGCAAACTGATGGGTCGGTAGTTTTTCGCCTGGGACTTGGGTCCCTTCTTGTGCAGCAAAACCAAAGTGGTGACAAGTTGGAGGGGAGTCAATCGCGGATGCACATGCAGTTGGCTGGCAAACAGCAGTTCCAAACAAGAGACCACTTGTGCGGTGCCAGCTTGAGCACTTCATATGGTAGTGCGTTGGGGCCTGGCACCGAGTTCGAGCTGCTATGCTTGATAGCGTGAAAAAACTCGTTGGCAAGCAGGGGAGCTGCAAGAT